TCTTTCATGTTTTATAACCAGAATTTACCATACAAATTGAAGTATTCTAATTTATTTATTTTACCATTACAATCTACAATTTTAAGATAAAGGCATGGGTTGGATTCATCTTATTTAAAAAAAGAACCTCTGTTAACCAATTTTGGTTCTTTCCTTATCTTGATCTTACAAAAACCAACATTGTGTAAGATACTATCTCTGAGCCACGGCCTGAGGAAGTGTAGCTGCATTGTCAGAACATTTACAGTGTTGTGTATCACCTCGAAACAAACAGCTCATAAATGTAGGATAAAGAGAAAAGGACATCACTCGTAAAGGATGACGTTATACCCTAAATCTCTACAAACAGCTTTCCAGTGAATATCATTCAGCCATCACTGATGATGGCTTGTTTGTGTGATCTCATAGCTCTGGTGAGCGAATGGCTCAGTTGATGTGTCCCGTGCCCCGGTCAGATTTCTGGGGATCTTCAGGGAGAGAGAGAATTGGCCCTGGTGCAGCGTAGGAAGGTCAGTCTACCGCAAGGGGAGCTTCAGATTAATGACCAGCAGTGGCGACTCTCCACAGGCCTTCATGCATCATGTCCCATTCACTGACAAACATGTCACGGGAGCGCTCCCACCGAGAATTTCTGGGATATTTACGGAGCATTTCCATCATTTTTTGCTGCCTGCCTATTGGCTCAGAGCGTTTGGTCCTCACGGCTGAAAGACGGAGGGGAGACAGAAGCAGGCCAGGGGTGTGGTGGAGGTCTTAAAGCCTAAACAGTGACTCCATGTGCATGCCCGAGCTACTTGCCCTAGCGACAAGTTTGCACTCTGGTTGCCATGGCAGCCCCCCCAATAGCCCATCCTGCAGCTACGCTGCTGGTCATTAGTCACAGAGACAGGCCGTCCACGCTATCGCAATGCCCTTCCTCCACCAATCAGCCGCTCAGATTCCAAAACTGCCCGTGTCATATAATAGATGCATCAGTCGCCATGGCAACATGTCTGACTCTCATCTGCCATTGTACCAGAGCATCCTTGAGTAAAGAGAGCTCAGTGTAGTTTCATTCATAGATCTTTTAGTAGTAAGTAATCCTCCCTGCTTTTTTTTTTTACGGTACACTGAAGTATACAGTCTAGTATACGATATACTGAAAATATACTAATATCCGGTACTACATGATGTATGTGTGACCTTCAGGGGTGAGTACTTTGTGTTTACTGGGACTAATTCCAAATTAACTTCATTTCTGTCAGAAGTCTGTTTTATGATCAATCCACAGTGATTAAGTGTGAGCAAACATTAAAAGAGAATAAAATTTACATAGAGGACACTCCCATCTACACAACACTTCATTTCAACTTTATGCTCTCTCTCTCTCACACACACACACACACACACACACACACACACACACACAGAGAGACACTCCGATCGGCAGGCCTGTTTTCTAGTCAGGGTGATTATCCAGCTCATAACTCACTTAGAGCTTTCATTTGCACCATAATTCACACCAGTCCCAACGATGGCAGCTCCATAATTCACACACACGCTGATTATCTCAGCTGTAACTCACACACCTGCAATCGGACAGACTGCAGCAGCGAGCGTTGAGAGGGAGGACGGATGATACGAGACACAGCGGTATTAGACTTTAAGCTAAATATACATTACCATGTGTAATAATGTCTTTTCCAAGACGCTGAAAGTCCAAATGTCTGATTCATCATTCAATAGAAACAATATTAAAGTTTTGTTCTCTAAAAAAGACGTAATCCATATATTCATGTAGTCAAGTCAAACATTTCTCGTTTGATTTTCCATGTGCTCTCATATTCCAAGGTAACTGAATGTTTGAAATCCCCCTCGAGACACTTAATGTGATGTTTTTGCCTCCTCTGTGATCTCCAAGAAACAATTTCTTTAAAACCAGGATATCCGAGCCATACATTGTGCCAAAGAAATCCAGTGAACATAACTTAATATCCTCATGCTCCATGCTGTCTCTTCTCAGACTCGTTGAACAGGCCGCTGCAGCCCCGTCTGCTCCCTCAGGGCAATAGTACAATAATGATTTATTAGGCCAGACTGACGTGATTCGTATCTTCTGTAATGGGGATTTTTAGGTATTCATTCCTTTGCAGATTAATGTGCCCTCTCAATGTAATGAAATGACCACGAATAGCAACATGTTCACACCACGCTGCTGGTGCATAGTGATGGGACACATGGAAACGTCATTATTGTTGCTCACACAGAACTTCAATGCCTTGTCTGAAGCTGGTTGTGTGTGCGTACTCGTTTTTGTTACCTCTGTGGGACCTTCTCCTGCATAAACACTGACCTTTTCGGGACTAGTAGACCTCACGGGGACCAAAGCCCAGTGCTAATGAGGTAAATTGCTGTGGAGCTGGATAATATTTGGGGAAAAGTTTTAATTGTGATAAGGATAAGATCAGGGATAGACGTGAATACGTCATGTTAGATGTGAGTCGTGGTTAGGTAAAGATTTGGGTTGGCTATGAATTGGTCTTGGTGAATGTCCGGGGTAGGGTTTTGGTTCAGCTGCACAAAGTGTGTGTGTGTTTGAAAGAAAAGACAATAAAAAAATAAAAAAAACACAAAATGAAGACAGTGAAGACAACATACAGTATGACTGTACCATGGTGACAGTGATAAAGCTCACCTCCCTAAGTAAATGACATCTTCTTTGCCCTCCTGCTCTCCCTTTCTATCATTCGCTGCTGCTATTTATAGCCGCCGTCTCTTACTGCAAAGCTCTCTCTCTTCCTTCACTCCCTCTCAGTCTCTTCCTCTTTCCTTCTCACTTCTCTTTCGCTTTCTGTAATTGAATCAATAAACAGGCTTTAAACTTTTTTTAAACCTCGGTTTGGATTTTCAAACCCACGCTCCGTCCTCAGAGAGGGTGGGATCCATGGATGGACTCCTGAACTCTGCCTCTTGTCTCCGAGAGTGTTTCTCAGAGCAGCTCTCACAACCCCTTACTTTTATCTTTTCCTTTTCCTCCCCTCATCCGCTCTCTTTTAAGTTTGATTTCCGTAAAGCTTTCTCAGGATTTAGTCCATCCTCAAAGGTGCACGAGCTGTTCCAACACTTAGCTTTGATTTTTTATTATGTTTATCTGGAAAGTTGAAAGTTGCTTGACTCTACAGCTGTTTGAGCTGTTTGACAGAAATATTCTTTGAAAAGTGTTGTTTTGTTACATGTGATGCAATCCAGCTTCGCTTCATTCTAATGATGGTGGAGTAAGAAAACTCATCTGTCATCACGGAACCCATTCACTCCTGAAATCTGTAGGGATGATATGATACTGATATGGAAAATGCTGCGTGCTGCAGAGAGTACGCAAATCTATCTACCCATTCAATGCCACGTCTTGAGAGTATATTGGTCTCTCCCAGATAAAACTGCAATTTTCCTTTCACAGAAATCCCTTAACCAGAGTTTGATAAAATGTCAGGAATTCAGCGATAGTTCCTACTTTCACAATTGGCATCAGGAAGGGAAAACTGGTAGAGGGACATCTCTAGAAATGTAATATATATCCCAAGTGACTGGCTACAACAAAGCATTAGGGCCATATTCAATAAAAAAAAAAAATAATAATCAGGTTTTGAGAACAAAGTCATAATATTATGAGATAAAGAAAAAAAGTGAAATAAGTGGAGAACCTGTGCTCGCCAAACCTGAAACCTCTTTTAATATCAGGCAGACATAACCAACGATAACCTCAGAGTTGACCGTTGCAAACATTTCCTTTTGTTTGTGTGGTTCTTTCATCCGAAAAGTTTAATTATTTAGTTTTTTATGAAACTCATACTAAATTTTGAACTCCACATTCTAACTTTATAATATCACGTATCCTAAAACTGTAACTTTATTCTCGTAGTCTCAAACATGTGTAGGTTTATAAAATACATGGAACAAAAATTACATACACTAAATAACACATACTTTGAATGAACGTCTGTTAGAACTAAATTTACCAACGTGCATTTCTGGTGATTGTCTAATTTAGATAAATCAATTAGACGCGGCACAATCTTGAAATTGTGACACATTTGCGTTGGGTCAGTTGGAACGCCGCCTTCCTTTGTTTGGGATTCTGAAGCACGCTGACGGACCATCTGGAGCTTTAAACGTTTCTTCTCAAAATAACAACGACAAGGACTGGAGGGAGCCGCTTTAAGTCGCCGCCGCCGTACTTTGCTGCGTTAATTATATTGTCTGGCTCACGCAGCAGTGAAACAGGGTTTGTTGTTGCGTGTTGAGGCTCTTTACACTTAATGAGCATCGCAAGGTGTGATTCTCATAAATCCAAAAGGTAACAAGATTTCTCAGGCAGTCACAGCGTGGTGCTCCAACAACAAAAGTAACTGTGAAATATCATGCGCTCGAAATAGTTTGAATGAGTTTAAAAAGAAATATCCTAATGTTTTATCTTTAATTTCTGACTTGATTGATTCTTTTTCTCCTTCTCTACCTTTTGCTCTTTCCCCCCCAATCTCTTCATTCCCAGCGCTCTTGTTTTTCTTTGCCCTCCTCTCATTTGAGAATCATTAGAATCAATTGGGCAAAATTGAAGAGTGAACCTTTCTGTCAAGGCTGAGTGAGGGAGTTAAAGAAGGGCGCCCACCCCTGAACTCACCTCCCTTCGCAACTAATTGCCCGTAATTACACTGATGACTGCCACGGAATGCAAATCAGCCCGGATCCGAACGCCCGAGATCCGTCTCATGTCGACGTGCGTGGCTGAACTCTGTACAGGGCTGAGCACGATATCATCAATAATATGAGAGCACATATACTGGAGGGTGGTAAAGAACAAGAAAAACGATAGCACTGCTCAAGCTGTAATTGCATCGATCAGGTCAATCATTCACTTGAATGTCACTTGTGTTAACGAATCTATTGCAATTACAAGAGAAGGAATTGGCCGTTCTTGAGTTCTTGTACTCTGCTGATAATCTTTTTTTCTCTCGGGCCAACAGGAGGAATATTTGAATCCATTGAGAGCGGCCCCTCCGGAGCAGAGGAACTAGCCTTTAAATTTGCCTTGAACACAATCAACAGGAACCGCACCTTGCTCCCCAACACCACGCTGACCTATGACATCCAGAGAATCAACATCTTCGACAGCTTTGAGGCCTCCAGGAAAGGTGAGGCAGGATGAGTCATGGACGCATTTAGCAGCAACTTATTTTGTTTGCAATTAATCACAATTGATTATTGATCAGTGGAATTAGCCAGGTAAATATAAATATCTCATATAACTCTATATCATTACAGGGTTTTAAGAGTAAAAAGAAAAGGTGAAGAAATCAACTCTTTATGAAATACACAAAACATGAACAAGGGGTTTTAATTTAGGATTGTTGTCTGTAGTTTATCTCTGTTAGCTTCTGCTGATGTGATAACTATTTTCACATTTAATTATGTTAATATATCACATTTCTTCGCAGTATCTGTGGGTTTGTCATTTTTATGAGTTGGACGATAAAAATCAGTTGCTATGAGCTTTCAAATCCATATCGGTATCTGCGTTAATGTTTTTGCCAATATGAAAACGTGTATTCATTTATTTGGTTGTATTTGTGTTTTCTTTTATTTATGATAAAGCTAATGCTTAAATTGTAAACTCTCAAGCCTTAATTACATTTCTTTTTTCATTTGAATGAGTTTGATAATTATATATCGATAGATATTTAAATTGGCTGATATATCAGTATCAGACATTTTTTAACTGGCCCCCAAAACTCCACATCAGTCGGACTGTAGTCTGTTTTGGTTTGTTTGTTTCTTTGGCCTGACACGGACAGACACTGAACAGTAAGTGTTTAAATATAACAGAAACAAAAACCTCTCTCTCCTACTACCCTACCAGCATGTGACCAGCTCTCCCTCGGGGTGGCGGCCATTTTTGGCCCCTCGCACAGCTCGTCGGCCAATGCAGTCCAGTCCATCTGCAACGCTCTGGGAGTGCCCCACATCCAGACCAAGTGGAAGCACCAGGTGTCGGACAACAGGGACTCGTACTTCGTCAGCCTGTACCCCGACTTCTCGTCCCTCAGCAGAGCCATCCTCGACCTGGTGCACTTCTTCAAGTGGAGGACGGTCACTGTTGTCTATGACGACAGCACAGGTACAGGTACAGATGGTGTCCGTCTTCCTCTTCAAGTCCTGTCTGCTTTTCGTGTGATGATGAATGCAACGCTGTGTTTGACCCTGAACCCGAAAAACTGTCCAGAAAAGCAGGAGGTACCAGGTGAACTACAAAAAAAAAAAAAGTAGGGCCGCTGCTCAGAGTTCAGCGAGTGCTTTGTAACCTGTCAAGTTAATTCAGAAATCAATAGCTTACTGTTCTGCCCCAGTCCTGCAGGTGCTGCCCATGTCAGTCTTCCAGGAGAGTGAGCAGCAGCAAAGAAAAAACATAAGAGAACCACATTACCCAGAATGACCCAGTGTCTCTTCAGATTAATGCAATGCAGAATTGTAGTATGTGGGAGCTGACAACAGCCATTAATAACACGGAGACACTTGATCTCTGAGGGTGGCTATCAAATGTGTCTGCGAGCCATTTTGTCTATCCCGTGACTTTGTGGAGTGCCTCATAATATGCATTTTAAAAGACCAGTCGTATTTTAGCCGTGAGTGCCGTGATATCTTTATGAGGTAAAGTGTAGGCGCTGCGGAGAAGATAACAATATTCAAATGCGTATTCGCAATTTACGAGCGATTTGGCATGATGTGCTTGACAACTTAATGTAAGTAAATTAGACAGAGTCGAGAGGAGGTTTAAATTTTTCGACAGGTTGCATAATGAATTCACTCTCAACTCAGAGAAAATGAACATTGTCTAGCGGTTGACGTTCTAAATTGTGCCGCTAAATAGATATTTAAACCCGTTTCTGCAGCTTTTATCAGCTAATGGCGTCTCGGTGATATTAGCTTTACTGCCTCCACCAGTATGTTTAGTTTTGCAGCTGTTGCATACATTTCAGTAAACAGCCAGTCCTGCAGCATGCTAGCATTAACCTTGCATGATATCCCAATGACTCGTCCCACTTGCCACATTACTCTGACTCATCTCCTTGACCTCTCTTCACTTCGTGCCTCGGAGCTCGATATGTTAACACCCTCGTTCTCCGGCAAACTGCCCCGGCGAGATGCCGAGGGGCGACCTCTCGCCTCTCTCTCGGTCAGACCGGAGCAGCCCGGGCCTCCTATGTGGAACATTTTCGGCTGCAACACACCTGACGCCCTGAAAAGTGTGACAGCTGCATAGCCGCACCGCATCCCCCCCGCCGCTTCCACCCAGTCCCAGGCTGTAATCACACAGCTTCATGCTCCAGGGCCCCACGCTGCTGATTGGAGCCTATCTGACGGCTGGCAGGAAAAACTATCGGAGGGGATAAAATATTCACACACAGCCGTTAGAAGATCTAGGGGGAAAGTCTGAAGGCATTAGCCAGAGCCCACAAACATCGACGCTGACAGTGTTACCCAAACGTTGAGCTCCCTTGACAGATTTTTTTTTTCCTTGCTTAACACCTCCGAAAGTGTCGGCACGAACTAAAACAGGAAGATGCAGACATGACCTAGAGTGGGGATCTATTGGGATTACCTGTGGAAAGCTCCAGGAGGTTCAGTATTCCTCCCTACAATGGTGCTTTTCACAACAAGACCTGCATGTTCCTATTTCACACCAATCTTTCTATAGGCCTCGGGGAGACCCAGCCCCACTCACAGTAACACCATTAAACTGCTCACACAGCACTTCATTTCAAAATAAAAAATAGGCTGAGCTTTCTTAAAGTGGTTGCATGAAAAAAAAAAAAAAAATCCTATCTCTCTCCAGTTCCAGTTCCCCCTCTCAAACTATCCTCGCCGCTCCAGCCATTTTTATACCCATGACAAGTAATCATCTCTCCCATCAATCCAGCCTCTTTCATCCCTGAACTCTGAAGTTCTTTACTGAGGGAGAAACTCATTGTAATCTCATCACAGCATCTCCCGGAGAGCTTTCTACCTGAGCGTGTGGTCGAGAAATGAAAGGTGAAGATTGTCGCTCAGTATGCAGCAGCGGCGACGGCGGCAGCGGTGGCGTCAGGCTCCCCAGGGGCGAGTACATGCTGGGCAAACAGAGCCTCTCTCATCAGAGCAGATCTGAAGTGTGTGTGCGAGACAGAAGAGACAGAAGAGACCGGATTGACCGCAGCTTTCCATCACGATAAAATTGAAACTATTCAGTGCTACTGTATCGTATCGCACTGTAGACGACGAGAGCGCATCAACATTCAGGAGCCTTCTGTGGGATTGGAAGTTTCAGTTGAGGGGGGGGGGGGGTTGCAGATCGACGTTCTTTCTATTCCGTGCTTTTGGTATAAAAGAGTGCAATGTGCTGGCTTGGTGTTAAATTCTCTTGATAGGTCTGTGGCAGTCTGTTTGCTTGCCAGGCATGAGTGGGAGGATCAATAGGCTGCGGATTAGGGTGGCATGCATATGAGCCTTTCTCTGCTGAGAAAAACCGAAACCAGTTGTTTCTCTTTTGGCCTCCTCAGACTCAGAGATACTTCAAAATGGCGGCAGATCAAACGCGCTACGTTGCTGCATCTTTTAAAAAAGTCCCTTTTCACGCTATATGTATCCTCTTTGTCTGCAGGTCTCATTCGACTGCAGGAGCTAATCAAGGCGCCGTCACGATACAACATCCGTTTGAAGATCCGACAGCTGCCCACCGAGACCAAGGATGCCAAGCCACTTCTGAAGGAGATGAAGAAAGCGAAGGAGTTCCACGTCATCTTTGATTGTGGACATGAGATGGCTGCCTGGATCCTAAAGCAGGTACGAACCCACTTTAATGAGCTACAGTAGACTTTAGATTCACTATTGAACTGTCATCAATACTGTACCAACAGGTTTTCTAATGTTAGTGGAACAAAACACACAAATCGAAGATGGAACCTTAAAGTCTGAGCCACTTTCAATCATTGATCAATAACTAATAATGACTTTTCATTAGTTGCACCCCTATTAATTCATATTCACCTTTAGGTTCAATATGTAAACAGCATAGACCGTTTATAAAGATGGACTCCATGATGACACCCAAACACTGAAGCCAAAGCATCTCGATCGCCATTGGCTGGCTGCAGTATAGGTCATAAACTCCTCCATGTTAACATATGGGACATGGACCAAACTAAAACGTCAAAATACACCTTGAATACATTTCTGGTCATGTTTCACAGCTGAGAACGAGTCGCAAATATATCGATGGGACCTCGCTCCCACGTCTCTATCCCAAAAGATGGCGGAATTCTTATCCAGGATATTTTAGCTTTAGGATAGTGGAAAGAAACAGAGACGCATCTTCCATCTTTACATACAGTCTGTGGTAAACAGTTCTAGAACTTAAGTTGACGGAACAGTCTGCTGCATTTGTGTATGAGACAAGTCATTTTATCATGGCGCATCGTAAATTTAATTAAAAGTGAATTAACTGCAGTGCCAAAATTTACATAATTTCCCCTAATAGGAACACAGACCCGGCACATAGACTGATAGCTCATTCATTATGTACATGTGCTAAAACAACAAGCTCATGTGTGTTCCCTTCATTATTTTTTCTCTCTTTAAGCAATGATCCGAGTGGTTCAGATACCTACTTTCTGCTCTCTGCGTTTCTTAATCTCTCTCTAGAATATTAGATCTCTACTACTGACCCATCATAGTAGAAGCACTCCATTGCACAATAAAGGTTTTTTAATTAGAAAGTCTAATTCTGCTCACAGGCATGTTAAATTCATTTAACAGAGGCACATTATTTATGAGAACTGCGGGGGTTCTTATTGAATTGAAGTCTTCTCACGAGCATATTGCGGCGTCTCCGTACAGCTGTATGTCGACAGGAAGCAACGAGAATGGTTATTTATTGATGGTGGAGACTTGGTGCGCACAAGAACAACACAAATACTATATGTCAACAACACAGTTCAGCGCATCCTCCAATAAATTGTTATATTGTTATATTTTCATTGTAGACACACACACTGTATTTTCTTTACTATCAAGAGCTATTCTCAGAGAAAACAAAGAATTGGTTTTTATACGTTGTTTTTTCCTCCTATCACTTTGAGACGGAGGTGTGAAATAAAACAACAACAAACTCATATCAGTACAAACAACACATTTTGTGTGAAAAGTAACTAATTAAAAAACACTTTTTTCTTTTTTTAAGATAAGAAGCTTTAAATGTGTTATGTGAATTTCTCTTTCAGGAGAAGGTCCATGGAGAGGAAGAGTGGTTCAGACATTATCACCTGTGTGTGCCTCAGTGTGATGTTCACTCAGTGAATCATTCGTCAATCAGCACCAAATCAAAATGCAATAAATACAGTGTATTTATAGTTAATTTCCTCACTGTCAGTTGTTTCCGCTGGAAGAGAAGACACGTCCAAAGTGACGGTTAAATAAAAGTTAAATGAAGAATTAAAATGAATCGAGCCCATTAAGCTATTAATCTTTGATTTATCGTCACTACCCACTGTTTTCTCCTCCCTGTAGGCCCTCGCCATGGGGATGATGACAGAGTACTACCATTATATTTTTACTACTCTGGTAAGTACGCCGGCACTTGTTTAATGTTGGGGAAAATAATGCAATTACACACTATGTATGTTGTGTATCATTTTATCTGTTTAATGTGTGTGATTTGTATGGTTGTGTTTTTTTGCTCACCTGTTTTTGCTTGATGCAAGACACAAAAAAAAGAATCATCCATCTGCCCGAGTGTCTGATAACAGCTTTTCTTCTCTGAGAACAGAATTAAATACCAGGAGCCGCTCAAAGGAAAACAAAAATTATTCTCACTTTGTGTGGAGCATTTTGAACCTGAGCTAAAACACAACTTGCTGCTCAAATAGAAATGCACGGCCTTAAAATGCTGACCCGTTGTCATGTAGTTGATTTTAAATAAGCAATTTGCATTTAAAGCATCCGCTGCGGAAATAAAAGTTTTACATGCTCTTGTTTTCCCAACTCCGCACCAACCTTTCCACCCCACCGGGCTGTCCATGGCTCTGAGAGCAGGAAACAAAAGCAGTTGGATATATTTTATTCTGACTCTGGCAGCGATTGAAGTTCTCCAAAGTTCTTTGATGTAGCCACTACAAAGATTGCTGCGCTCCAGAGGAAGAGCAGCACATCTTCTCTGAGCGCGGGGAAACAGAGGCCTGAGAGCTCAGATAATAGCCCCTAGCAGATGAGACTGTCACCCATTTGGTCCATTATAGTTCTAACAAACAAATGGTGCGCTGTGGTTTGGAGCACAGTCGCAAAAAGGCTGAGTGAAGAGGTTGGAGAAAAGCGAAACCCCCGAAAAAATAAGACATTTACTGGTGCGCAGGACACGCAGCTCTCTGGAGCGCATTCACATAAGGACCAGGCTATAGATGAAAAGGGGGAGGGGGTGACAGCAGGTATGTCATCGGGAAAGGAACGAGAATAGTGATTATAGTCATGTTCACACACGCTGCTGCTGCTGCTGCTACTGCTGCTGCTGCTGCTGCTAGTGGAGATGGAAACATGCCTACTCTTAACATCAGCCAGTGTTTGGCAGGTTGGAGGCCACTGCGCCGGCCAAAGCTGCTGCACACTGGTGCCGAGCCATCCGTGCTGCTTTCCGAATAGGACAGCAAACATTGACCATCACACACACACACACACACACACACACACACACACACACACACACACACACACACACACACATTCTGTACCCATCACTTACTGTTGCTCCGTCAACTGTGTTGTTTCATCCCAGAGACATCTGCCTGGTGCGATGCCAGACATGCTGCATGCAGGACAATTGGGTTGTCCTTTCACTTCCACATGATAGATGGCACTCCACCAAAAGCCTGCCTGTAACCTTGAGAGCCTCGCCTTAATCAGGGCCACTGCCTCAGCATGAGATAAAATAACTCCTGAAACACCTTCAACTGCTCTTCTCCTCTCACCTCGTTTCGCCAAAGCTGACACTCAACTTAATGTTTTCAATTAAACTCATGAAGGTTGTTAAGAAAATGAGCAGGAATTACTTTTTTTTTTTTTGCAGCTCAAACACATCTAGACTTTTTATGCTTCCAGGACCTTTATGCCCTGGACATGGAACCGTATCGTTTCAGTGGCGTCAACATGACGGGGTTCCGCATCCTCAACACAGAAAATTCTCAGGTGACGTCAATCATCGAGAAGTGGTCAATGGAGCGGCTACAAGCCCCGCCCAAACCGGACTCCGGCCTGCTGGATGGATTCATGACGGTAGGCTCGGCTTGTTTTATGCTGCTTATGTAATGCACGCTGTGTCGTGCATGCGGAAACGTGCTCAGAGCTCATTCCTGTATTTCCAAGTGACCGAGTGGAACAGCATGTAACAGAGTGAACCTTTGGGGATATCGTGTTGGAGGCTCTTCTTTATGAAGCCACACATGATGGTGGATTCAATATTTTATTGTTTTAGAGAAGAACGAATGAGCACCAGGTGTCAATCACTGGTTCCATGGTGTGGGCGCGGGAGCAGTGTGAATGCCCTCTGTGCGGGGCTTCTGGGTTGGCGCTCTTGGGTCTAAATGCTCAGTAATGAGGCGGTGTGAATGGTAATAGCCGTTTATCTGCCCTCCTGCCTCTCACAACTCTCCTCTGGGAGCGTGGCCAAAATATGACAATCTGTCAGTGTTCATGCAGAGAGAGGGAGCAAATTGGATGGAAATTATGGCCTTGGTTTTTTTAGGATGCCGTCCAAAAAAGCATGGGATAAGGTGATTTGAAAGTGAAAACTGGAATGAAGCTTGTCATGGACGTTCAAGGTCCCTCTCTGTGTCTCTTGCTGTAAACAGTCAATTTACCCCACCCCCACCTTCCTCCTTCTGTCATGACACCTTCCTTTCAGACAAACACCCTTTTTTATTTTTTCTGTCCTTCTTTCAGCCGCTTCTTCTTTCTTCATGGCAGATTAAGGATCGGCTATCAAAAATCCGTGTAATGAAAAAAGTGTCTTTGCATCAGAGACTTAAAGACGAGCCTTCAAATGAGATGCGGTGCCTCGTATATCAATCACAGCCTCGCACACAATCAAAAATGGAAAATCAAGCTGTCACGTCGACAAATGTGTTTTAACTTCACTTTTCCTAAATAAAGACGTAAACATCTTATCAGAAACGTGCAGCACACCCTGCTGTAAATATAGAAATATATTATTATTATTTATTTCCCTCAAGCATTAACATGTGCATCCCTTTTTTTTCCCATGTGGCACTCGAGTGCAGATAAACAAGCAAAGCAGTTATGTTTGCAGAAAGATTAATGCAATGCACAAAGAGGTTAAATGATTTAATTTTTTTTCTCCCCTCCACCGGAAATTAATGTGTGTTAGTGGAGACTGTTGAATTGATTAATTAGCATTGCATGAATCATTTTGTCAGATCCTATACCACATATTGACACATCTCACTGGACCAGAACTGCCGTTAAATAATAAATAATACGTCCAAAGCCTCGTGCAAGCTTGATAAAGTACTTCATTAGAGCGCTCTATTTACAAATCCAGCTCTGATGTGTTTTAGTCTGTGGAGTGTTCCACCCTCTAAGAGGATTCTTCATAATGAGCAAATAAAGAGATAGCAGCGTGAATATACAGCAACACATTGTCATTTTAATGGTATATTAAAAGCAGAAGCAGTTGTGCTGGTGTTTATAAAACCAGGTCCTACCCACATTATGAATGGATGGATTTGAATAACATTTGGTTTCTCTGCAAATCACACGACTTTAATTAATTTGTAGATTTGCCTTTATGCCACGGCGCTCTGGGCTTCTGAGGAGCCAGGAGGGTATCATTAAATTAAAATGTGGGAGGGCTGCAGCAGCCAGTGTGTGACCTTCCACCCCCGACCCTCCCTCCAGCCGTTTCTCTTATTCCCTCTCTCTTCATACCTTGTCCTTCTCTGCAGCACAGAAGCCTCGCTGGGCTCTGGAGGCTTTTTTTTTTTTTTTTTTGCACTCGGTGACCAGGCAACAGTTGTGTGGTGGTTGTTACCAGGGCGACGTCGTTCCGTGTCACCTTGTGATTTCATGAGGGATTGATTGATTGAGGGTGGGGGGAGGGGGAGGGAGGTGAAGTAGGTAAAATGGTGGCGCAGGAGGTGGGAGGGGCGGTTGATGATCAGCGGGAGGGGTTGGAGGAGGACAGGCGGGAGAGATGGGGGGGGGGTGTTGCGAGCATTGGAAGGTGCTTGTGATGTCTTCTCACACCACTGGCCTCGCATTAATGTGGGCTGGTGTATAATCACAGTGACACTCCGTGCCTTGGGTGAGGCCGAGCGTTGTCTCAGGGAAGGATGCATAATGAGAAGTCCCTCCTCGGCCGAGGCCGGCTCGCAGACACAAACACACCCGGCCTCTCAACTCTTTTTGTTAGCGGTACCTCTGGAGCCACGCAGAATAAGAGCGGGGAGGCTAATTAGTCGAGTTTGTGGGCGTGAGAGTGCGGCTGATATCGTCTGCACCGTCCTCTGTCGACTCTTTAACCGCATCCCTGGAGTCGTTTGCGGCTGAAACTGTTTTACCTCAAACTTCATTATCAGTGTGTGAATTAACAGCAGTGAAAAAACGATGTGTTTCAATAGCTAGATATACAGATTGGATTTTTTTTTTATTTTTCGCATCTAATCTGATCATAATTTCGTCCCATCTGTGTATAATCATTGCCTGCAGCTAATGCCAGATTTGATTTTAATGCTTTGCTGTAATTTGAATTCTTTTAAATCCTCCATTCACTGAACTAAGTATATACTTGGATTTAATTGAGAGAGAGAGAGAAAAGCTGTTTCCCAGTTGTGTGCGTATCTGAAGCTTTAGGCTGCGGATATTTCCTCCATCTACATCATTTCACGTACGTCTACATTTCATTGAGCTGTAATTACCACAACAGAGGACGAGATTTTCTCCAGTGTCATCAACACAATTGAAAGTTCTGGTGTAATAGCTCATAATAATGACTCTGTTATTAATAGAGAGCAGATGTTTGGGGCGATGTGTGTGTGGCACGACGAGGCTGCTCCTTTTAATTCACAGTATAAAAAGCTCTAAGACTAATCGAGCTAAATGATTCGGAAAAAAACATCAAGATATTTAACTTGCTTCCAATGTGAGCAAATGTTTTTTTATATCAGCAGATATGCAAACACATCCTTGAGCAATAACTTTAAAATCAGCACAGGAACGTGTCTACTCAGCAAACTTTCCCAGGATACTGTAAATAATTGCTAATGACAATGATTTAAAAGGCCCTGCCCCTAACACATGAAAGTATTTATCTTTCTTCTTCCTCCTGCTCACAGCACATAATCCTTTTTTAGTTGTGGTGACACATAGATGATTAGAGAGACCTGAACATTTGATATATTTTACACTCATGTTGTAAATAATTCTATAATTCTTCAAATACTGGTGCATCTTCAGCTGTAGCTTTTCGCCGTATTGACTTTTCGTTACTGTATCCCTATAAAGTTGTTATTGGCAGTCTGCCCCCCCCCCACGGGATACAATTTGCAGACCCAGGCACTAGGGGATTCAGCGATGCACGTGCACGCTGATGTCTCAATTCAGCGGAATTTGGAGCGTGAAAGCTGTGATTTGCGACAGGAAATCATTCCCTACCCCGTTAATTTTTTGACACATTTCACTAATCAAGACAAAACTCCTTGCCTGCAGCCCCATGCCCAACGAGAGCCCCGCAGACCTGGCAAGATTTATATGTAATTTGTGACCGGCTTGACATTTGTGAGCCGAGACGCTGCCTCCATTTGCAAACTGCGTGTGATCCGCTCTTGCAAACCGTTCCTGTGAGTCGAGCCCCTGGAGGTTGTTCTGAAAACTAAATCCAAAGTATGCATGTACAGTATTTTATATGTGAAAGACCAACATTTGATTCTTCATTAGTGTAACAATAAATCCTCTCAGCCCCAGTTTGCTTGGTTGCAGAGTTTAAGGTTTGTTTGTTTCCCCCGGTCATCAATGCATGTGTCGTTTGGAACTGAAATTAGTTAACATGACTGTTTTATTAGTGCACCTGGTATAGTTTTAAATGGGATGTTCTGATTTTTGAAGGTGATCGACCAGTTGTTGCCTCCGTTTATTTGTTGGTTGGTTTGTTAGCAAGATTACGCAAAATACTACTGGACGCATTATTCTAAAACGCTTTTTAACATTTACCTTGATTTCTCAGAGAGTATTTCATGGATCTTGAAGTAAAAAATCTGTCATGTTTTGTTTTGATATTTACGAGTGTGTGAAATTTGGTGTAGATCCAAATAAAGATCTGGATCTAGTAAATTTAAATGTGGTTTTCATCAGGGGACCTTCATGGAGGTATGCACACTAGTGAGGGCCAATTATTCTGATGCACTTGTTATATGAGCTTTTTTTATGTGATATCTTGACCCAGTTGTTTACGTCTGTTTAATTAATTGCAGACTGTGCCTTTAAATATTCTTGGCACATTACCTCTCAAAACATAAGAGTACATTTACTGCAGAACTAGTATACTTTGAGGGGATATACTTCAACTCTGTTTGGGCTTGAATTCGGGATTCTGTGAGCAGCGAATGAAGACCGAAGGGAAAATTGTGAGGAAGCAGGTTTGCTGAGAAATGCACAGCGAGAGAGAGAACACACACACCTTGCTGCATTAACAAGGACTGCTGGGAGTCGAGTGGGAGCCACCCACACAGTGAGAGCAGGATAGAGGAACCCGTGTGGTGGCAGCGACACTCTCGTTAGAGCGTGTTTTACCGCACATGTTTACATACAAGCGTGTGTTTGTACTGTCCTGTACTGAGCTGTGAAACACGCTGCGCACACGGTGGAAGATGATTCAGTTCCACACATTTAGTGGCTCCTCTGAAGCGGGGAGGGGTGGGGGTGGGGGTTGGGGGGGTTGGGGGGGTTGGGGGGTGCTTGGCTCTGGTTTGGCCTCGCCGGCGGGTTAGTTGTAGGGGAGCACACGGCTGCATGTAATCTGACAATAGAGGGAGAATACCGACACATGGATCCGTACAACATTTCATCCCGATGAGGGTCCTCAGCACGAGTGTTGAGCCAAATGTGCTGCTCCCCAGTCGATACCATATTGAATAGAGGACATACACTCTAATTTTCACTGATATAAATCACCGCCCAAATGAACTTTACTGGATATTAGACTTGGCATTTAGGGAGTTCTTTTATTCGTTTGAGGCCGACTTCAGTCTTCACCCTGCGGC